CCAATAAAAGATGAGTTCTCTATAATTATTTCATTTCACAAATGATTTTGCCCTCACAATAAGACAAAATGGCCCCGGAGAGTATCGGGTTAATCCTGTTGATTTACAAATCTTTGTCTAAAGTTTGGGTGTTTTTACTCTTTAGTAGATATGATAGATATACTATGTTTTTATTGTTATAATGTTTATAAACAAATAAAATGATCATCAAATCGGATAACACACCGGGCAACAACAAAAATTTTTTTCTCTGCTACAAGAATGAATGCAACTGTTTCTCAGTAATTTGCTCAGTGATGCTGATTATAAAAATCATTTTAACAATTACTGATCACCTGTAGTTTTTGAGTTATGATTTATTCAAAGTATTTTTACATATTGTGAAAATAACTTTTTTTTAAAAAAACTTCATTTATTTGTTGAAAATTGCATTTAAGAATGTTCAAAAGCAATACATAATACCAATACCAGTTTCAAATGCAATGAGTATAATAAGATTATATACTGAAAATACATTCAGGCTATGTTCAAAACTTTAACTTTGTTACCTAATTTCTGCTTGACTTGTTGTTCCTTTTGTGTATGTTCTAATTTTCATGCTGTAAGGACCAACAGTAATATACCATCATTGTAGGATGCCATCATCATGGATATTGCTGGTGGAAGTGCTCACCATGCTTATCATTCATTGCAAATAAATCATTTGGAAAAAAGTCTAAATGAGAGTGTAAGAAGTGCATAATTACTGACATCCAAATTTTCCTGTAGTTCTCAAGCATATCATCAATCATCACAGCATAGCTTTTATCTCTGTGATTTCCTAAGAAATGTTTGATAACTAGTTTAAATGATTTCCAGGTAGCAAATTCTTTCTGATTGAATGCTTTTTCAAAATCATCATCCAATAGCACTTCCCAAATCTGTGGCCCAATAAAGATACATCCTTTTATTTTTGCTTCACTGATATTTGGAAACTTGTAAGACAGATATCTGAAACCATTATCATCTTTGTTCATTTCTTTTACAAAATTCTTTGAGTCCCAATCTAACTCTACCATGATGGGCATCATTTTCTGTGCATGTCACAATGTTTTAATGAAGTAGATTCAAAATTTAATTAAACTACTTTCTTGTCATGCCAATAAATATAGCATAAAAATGTATCTGATAATCCATATTTCAATAGTATACAAGTTTTGAATTAATAATTTTATAAGGCAATATTAAACACAATTCCTGAATTTCCCCTAGTATAAGAATTGGGATATTTTCTCTCTAGGCATCCCCTGTTTTCTAATTTATTTACCAACCCATCAAAGAAGTATGAAATTTAACATAAATTACTTATTCTAATGTTTTCATTGCTCAGGCAAAGCATAACTTTTTATAGCCTTCAATCTTATTTGGTTACAGAGCCATCAAATAGAAAGTTGGACCTCTCTTGCCACACCCACTTATCACATCCTCTCTATCAGAAATTGCCAATAGTTCTCTCTTATGTTCAATGCTATAGTATTTATAACATTACAGCCAAGGTTTTTATCTATCAAGTGACATATTATATCACATTGTTTTCAGTAAAGAGAATTGTAAATTTCTCTTTCAGTCCAAGCTTGATTCCATGGGAAATACATCAACAAGCTTAGAGATAGTTAGAAAGCCAGAAGAATTGTGATGGTTATTGGACATTGTCTGCTTTTGCACATTATTATTCTGTGTTCTTTGATGCATTATTTAATTAAAATAAAAAATTATTTAGTGCAGTACTACCATTAGTATGAAAATTTAGGGTTAAGTGTCATCAACAGTTGACAGAAAACAAGAAGACCCAGGTAAGTACTTTTTTCTTGTTTTTCATGTGCATTATTTATTTATTATTATAAAAGTAACTAAAATATAAAAAATAACAAACTTTATATGTTAATTTAGGTTAGATTAGGTGAAATATATAATAACAATAATATAATTTTCACGAGGTATGTTTGTGAGCAGCTCGGGATTAGCTCGTGCAAAGTGTACTTCAATAACATAACTTGAGCTGCACGTTCACCAAGTGATTTACAACTTAAAATGACCAGAATAGTAGTGAGCCAGCATTCAAAGGGCAATAAAACATAAATAGATGTATAACGTTACAAGATTAAGGATATTTGGTTAAACAAATGTAGTTTTATATTACAATCTGAAATAATTCTAGAAATTAAGATATGATAATTTAGATTTATTTAGATTTTATTTGGTGGTTACAAGGCTAGTCAAATTGACCAACTTTGTGTAAAGTTAGCAATGGGAAAATAATAGACAAAATATAAAGTTTTGCTGAAAAAAATGTTTGAAATTTATTTAGAAGGTTTCAGAAATTTGAGATTTTTAAGATGAATAAAGTATTTTTAATATTAACGTGAAAATCACTTAGCACTCGGACTAGTATATAGAAATACTATACATGTTCATGGACAAATCTTTAGTAAAAATACTCTACTAAAAAAAGCTGATTTGTTTGTGAAGAAAAGACTTGTATTATTTACTAAAAGTCTACCAAATTTTGTGAAGATACACAAAGTATATTAAAACTCATAATATGGAAATTATAATGAGTATAAAAGTGGTTACGAGGCTAGTCGATTTGACCGACTTTGTTGTGGGAGAGTTAATATGAAGTGGGGGTAGAAACACATTTTGAGGATTCACTAAAGGCGAGATTCTGATCCCCTGGTATGTAATTCTCTCTCATTGGCTATTCCTTCTTTTTGAAATGATTTTTATAATCTCAGCTGTCCCAGAGACACAAAAAGCAATAATGGACAATGTTTGGTATACCCACTCTGAAGGCCTAACAGGAATGTAATAATTTTGAGATCACCACATATGTTCCATCTATAGTGATCATATTTGATGAACTCAAGTATAATCTGCATGCTTTGGTAAGTTTCATGTTCACAGCATGAGCAACAGGAATTAATGGCTTAGTATTTCCATTGTGCAAAAGTACAGCTTTAAGACTAACTTAGATGAGTCGATAAAAAGTCTCCATTCTTGAGGATGATGTTCAGTATTTAATTCTTCCATTAGAGAATCAGCATTTCTACAGAAACACACAGTATCTTGCATGCTGTAGTGAGAAGCAAGACTGATGTTGACTTTAGTAAATTGAAACTGTTGTTCCTGGAGCTAATAAATTCCATTACTGTAAATGAAGGACTAGAAGTTCCCCATGTTGCTTTGATGGAGACAAGTCATGAGTTAGATAATTTAGGTGTTTTTGTGTTATCAGATGAGGTAGTTTATATTGAGGTGTCACAAGAATAGAATTACTAGATGAAGAGGATGAAGATGATTCATTGCATTCTTTGCAGGAGAACTCTTCTGTTTCCCAATTTACTGGAAAATCAT